ATGCCTATTGACAGGACTTTTCATAACTCCCTTTGGGACTTATAGTCCCTATAGAATCATTTTGTCCTGGTGTTAGTCATGAGTAGGAATAAGAGGCAGGCTGGGACTGCTATTGGCAGGGCCACAGTGGGTGGGTGAAAAGACCTCACTCTGCCTGCTGCATAGTCTGCAGACCCGTGAAAGGAGCCCAGCGCTGGACTGGTCTGCCTACCCCAGCCAAGGATCTGCTGCAACAGGGGTATGAGGAGGAAAAGTCCACTAAAACTAAGAGATTGAAGAGGCGACCAAAGGCACTGGAGGCGGGTGTTACTTGGGAACAGGCGATCCTGTGGAGAATGCTGCAGGAGTGGAAGACGGCCTGGGGTCTGAGTAAGTCAAGGGAGTATTGATACCGCTATGCACTTGGGAGGGAGATGGTTTCTCTTCAATCTTTGAAAAAACCTCTCCCTCTTACAAAATATAAAAAAATGTCTGTTTCCCTCATTAAGACTAGACTAGGTAAGAGCCTTTCACACAGCAGGTGTTAGAAAAATGTTAGTTGACATATACCTGAGTGGTTTGGCTGTGGGTATCACTTTAATAATTTCCGGAAATTCACTAAACTGAGAACTCTTTATGGGCAAGGAATCAGTCTTATTGACTTTTCAAACGTTATGCTCAATAAATGATGTGAGGAGAGAAAGACAAATTATGCTGCCCAAGCATTGGCCATATGGCTGGGCTCAGGGGCTCGTACCTGTAATCAACACACTTGAGGCCAAGAGTTTGAGATCAATCTGGGCAACACAGCGAGTCCTCGTCTCTACAAAAAAATTAAAACATTAGCCAGGTGTGCTGGTATACACCAGTAGTCCCAGATACTCAGGAGGCTGAGGCAGGAGGATCACTTTGAGCCCAGAAATTCAAGGTTACAGTGAGCTCTGATCAAGCCACTGCACTCTAGCCTGGGCAACAGTAAGACAATGAGACACTGTCTATAAAAAAGAAAAAGAAAAGAAACTTTTCAGTTGGCTGTGGTATAAGCAACCCCTTTCTAGAATTTGTTTGTGGAGCTGGGGCTATCATGTATCTACATTGCCTTCAAAGATATGAGAGTGGAAGGCTAAGTCCCTGAGGCAGAGTAATGGCCTAGCATGGACTGATGAAAGTCACAGGATTCGGAGAACTCAGGGGCTGCTGGTTTTCAGAACACGAGAGACTAATTTAGTTAGTGCAGAAAAAGAGGTGAAACTGGATCAGATAAACAAAAAAGGGATAAGAAAGAGATTCCGAGTAAAAGCTAGCAGAGAGACAGACAGACAGCAGGGGCACTGTTGATCCCTACAGAAGGAGCAGTTAGGAACTAAAATGAGGAAGATGTTGAAAACTAGATGAAGAGCCCTCCAAGGCCAGGAAACCTAATGAAAACCACAGTAATTAACACTTATTAAACCCTCATTATCTTGCCAGGCATTTCACTAAACACTTTGTCTAGTTAACTCATTTAATGTCAAAATAACTCAATATGTAGATTCTAACATTTT